CATGTCCACGCTGAGCCAATCTGATCTCCAGGTGTGAAGCTGCTGGGAATGGGGCAGAGCTCTGAGGAAGCTGCCTCTTAGGACGGCTCTTAGATCTTGCTGCCAACCAGAGATGCCAGACCTTGAGCGAGTCTGTACAGAGGAGGGAAGAGCTAAATCATGGCCTTTATAGGAAACTTAGGCAGGCCTCTGGCCTGATCCTTTCCAGAGGGGTGCATTCTCCCACCAGGCAGGCCCCTTTCTCAGACAATAGTGCTGTGATTATCTTGAGAGACAAGAAAATCCACATGCCCTAATTAAACTCAATTCATCTTGTAAGCAGCAGTTTCACACTTGGTATCCAGAGGCTAAATTATGCGGGGGGGGGGGGGGTTAAATACATAAATAAACTGAGTGTTTGTTGTTCTGCTTTTGCAGCAAGAAGATATTTTGGTAACTGTTTATTATGAATCAACACATCATAGGGGAGCAAAGCTGCAACATCAGGGCTGAACGGAGCAAATAAGATGTTTGAGGACAGTAAGCAGAGGGACATAAACATTACTTTAGGAAGAGGTTCTCCTTTCATTTTGCCTGTTTGCAAGGTCCTTTCCCTCCCTCTTTCATCCTCCCTTCTAAAAAACAATGAGATTTTTGTGCTCCCTGTAACAAAATTCAAAGCCCTGATACTCACAGTTGCCTGCAAGTCCATTGTTCCCTGCTCACTTAGAGAAAAAATACTCGGCAGTGAGTGAAATGTGGCATGGGAACTGAGCTGCGGCCTCCCACCCCCACCCCCCCGCCAAGGGCCCTGCAACGCCCGATGGCCCCCCACCCTCCCCGCTTTCCCCGCCACCGCGAGAGTCTCCCTGCGCCCAATTTCAAAGCCCTTTTGCACTGTCGGAGGAGCACGGAGAGCCTTTGTGGAACCAGTTTTTCAGACGGCAGCCTTATCTCGCAAGAAAGAAAGCAAAAGGTGGAGCCTTTGGGCCAGTCTGTGCTGCGTCAAGGAGTCAGGGGTCCCGGAGCGCTGCTCGAAATACTACTCTGCACCTCCAAATGCACAGGATTGAAGTAGCTAGGCTACGCTGTAATGCCCTACAGCCATAGGGGACAACCTGATCCTGCCACAGACTCTTCAGAGCTAGCACAATAAGGTACTCAAGAAGTGGTCATAATAATTTTATAACACTATAATCTAAATATTTCTGCTTCCGTCTTTCCTGCTCATAGCCAGGTGGTTGCTCACACCTCTGGGCCACGAGTTGCTTCTTCCTGCAGTGTTTTTTATTAGGTACTTTCAATATATCCTGCAACTGCAATAAAAAATACACCACCACTAAAAATACAAACTGGGAAAAGAAATCATCCCAGAACACAGTCTACACAAAGGTTGTTAAACTATGGGTTGAGTTAATTAGCAGCTAATAAAAGGCTAAATTCTTCCATTAGCTATTCCGGTACGTAAGATCCACTGATTTCATTGGGGGCCACGTCTATGGGCACAAGGCCATATTTACAGTGGTAACCATGAGCGCAAATCGCAGGACAATCAGGGCTTGACGCAGCTGGGACGAGGACGAGGATGGGGTGGGGGAGCCGCACAGCCGTGCAGCGGATCTCTCTCTTCACGTGCCACATTGCGCTATCCACTGCAAACATGGCTCCGGGAGGACACAACCTGATCTGTCCTTCCTGGACACCTTCTCAACCCAGTAAATCCAGTGTGGGCAACATCCAACAGTCAGTTCCCCTGCTGGGAGTGTGACTGCCCATTGCAAGCAAGGAAATGGGAGCTGGACTCCTTCCTATCTCCCTTCCTTCCATATAAATTGTTTCCAGATCTGAATCACTGGTCACATCCTTTACGAATGTGAGTCACTGTCGTACTCCCGCCTGCAGGCTTGTTCAACCAGCTATGCCATCATGTTGTCCCAAACAGCCTGAGGATTTCAGGTTGAGCTAAATTCCTCCTCCTCCTCACTTTAAATTCCCACCTTGGACAGTGCACACAGGTGCTATACGCAGGGCAGTTCTGCGGTGACTTCCACGGCAGGAGGTACAACTGCCAGGGATATGCATTTGCACCTGCGTGAAACCCCCTTTCTGCTGGGTGAGTGGTGCAAAGGGCCCTCAGCGTCCGTGCAAACCCAGGCCAGTGTCTCGAGGGGCTGCCAAGAGGCCGAAGACCTTCTTGGCAGCCCTCAGTCTCGGCGCTGTTTGGCCATTGCATTTCATTGTCTTCGGGATGGCCCGTTCCAGCAAGGAGCCCTGCACGCTATCCCCAAAGACAAGAATAGGCTTAAAAACGCCACCGAGATTTATGAGGTCTAAAGCTTTTTATATTTTTTCAAAGCCCCTTTTACACTGTCTGGATAAATTGATTACCTGCTGATGGGGGAGTGGGAAGGGCTGTTTACTGGGAACCACTGAACAAGAGTTTATTAGGACTGGAAGAAACCAGTGGGAATGACCCACTGCCCTTTCCTTTGATCTCTGTGAGACGTGCCCAGCGAAGGCACAGCAGAGCCAGCGCGACAGCACAAAGCACAACTGCTGCTCAGCCAGCCATTCCTCCTCTGCTCACTGCCCGCACCCAGACCACGGCTCCGATACCCAGCAGGCCCAGTTGGAGTGATTCGTAGAAATGCAACGGGATGAAAACAAGTTTTGTGTCATCTGCACGACCCAGTGGGTACGCTCGGCCTCACAACGATGGCATGCGGCTGCTGTTGTAAAGGCATCTTAGGTGACAGTGGATGTCCTGGCTGTGGTAAAATTAAGGATGTCAAATATTGGTGTAGAAAACTCATATGTAACAACAGGGAATCTGATCTGCACGACAGCTGAGGGAACTGTGCATCTAGGGCACAATATAGACTCTTAGCTTTGATTTTGGTGGTGAGGCATCTTCTCCATGCACTTTTAAAATTCCTGCTAGGCACCTAATTGTAAGTCTTTAGGCACATAAATCCCTGAGAAAACCCCAAACAATCCTGAGACAAATTCTACCCAACGAGAGCTCAGTGAGCCAGGTGAAAATAGCATATGACTATCAACACTGGGCTGTCCTCATAGTCCTGCAAGGAGGTCATTTGGGAGGAGAGTGGGCCCTAATCAGCATGGTTTTTGATCCAAAGGGCACGAGAGGGCTCTCCTACTGCTACCAGGATCGTGCCATCTGGCATTGGACCGCAGCCACCTCTGGGGTGCTCCCTGGGACCTGGCCGCAGAAAACAGGACGTGAAGAATAACATGTCCAGTTGGGAGGCAAAATGTTATTAAACAAATTGGCACACACATTGTGCAGTGAGAAACCTTGCAAAACTGCACCAGGGGCTTTTGATAGTCAACTTTTGCTGCAGTGAACAGGACTCATCTCCATGTCTCTGCCATTGCACATCTGCTTCTCCAACCTTGCCCCTATGCAGTAATCCAGCGGTCTACGGCTGGTGTCACTGTTGACCTTGGACCTTGCTCCTATCTCTGCAGCCCTCACTGGACATTTGCCTTTTTAATCATCACTGTGACTCTTCCCCACTCCACAGGAAGAAGTTATGCTATATCCACAGATCCCATTGCCCCTTAAGCAAAAAAAAAGACCAGCACCTGATACCACTGAACTTACTGAAGAGAATAAAGGTAGCAATAATAAAGTATTTAACCACTTCTTAACTCCACGCTAAAGTTGTCAAAAAACATTTATCCTCATGGTGCAACAGGGAGAATTGAGGCACAAAGAAGGCAGCCTCCAGCTCTGGCCTGGGCCCTACAGCGTAAGGCACAGAGTGAAAACGCATTCCCTGCTCTGAGCGGCTCAGGAGGTGCATTTGTTTTCGACAGTAACTTGTTGCATTCTTGCAGGTATTCAGCGCATCCCACAGCTCATGAAACAAACAGGGGAAAGCACTACAGAAATACCGGCGTTTGAAGAAGAAAAGCTACAAAACTGCTAGCCCCTCACTCACACAAGCTCTGAAAATACTTTATATTCCAGGTGCTCAATCCCTATTTGTGCTTCCAGTATGTAATGTTTTGAAAGATGTTAGCAGCACAACCCAAGTACATGATCAGTATTCTCAAAGCATTAATTCAAGGCACTTGGGTTAAAATACAGTCTACAATCAGCAAAGTGTGGGTGTGTGCCAGACAAGATCTTCACCATAAAGCAAACAACTGATTGATCGATTGATTGATTGATCAGCCTCTCTCTCCCTCTCTGAACAGAACTATTTCTCCCTTTCTTTGTCTTTCTCCCCTTTTTACACATCTCTATTTATAATCCAGCCTATGATCTCAGTCCCACACTCTGATAGTTCTGATCTTGCAGCACCTGATTAAATACAATGCGGAAGAACAAATCAGCAGAAAAAGGTTATTTAAAAAAACGGCCAAGCGTCTCCTCACTTGTGGGAAACGGTGCTCTGCATCTCACTTTCTTTTTGCAACGTAAGTCCCCGTTGCCAGCTACTCATTGCTGGGAAATGAACACTTCTCCTGGGCCCCCCCTCCCCAGGGAGTCTTTTTCCTGCTCCTCTCTGCAAAGAGTGCTCTTTGTTTACGCTTCGAATTACCCAGCCGCTTTCTTGGCGGAAAAACCTCCCCATGCCACCTGGCCGCTTTTCCGTCTCCCAGGAAGTTTTGCGGTGACCCAGCCGGGAATGCGGCTCGGACACAGGCATTCGGCGACATCCTGCATCCTCCCATGGCCCCCTCCAGCCGCGCTCCCCCTCGCGCGCTCGCATCCAGACACACACAGACATACACATCGGCAGTGAGTCAGAAACAAAGAAGAAAACCCTCGTGGGCTGCGATTCGCCCTTTCTTGTGAACTCCAGACGTCACACGCACACGGCTATAGATGGAGCTCGGGAGCCCGGGCCAGCCCAGTGCAAGCCCACGAGAGCTCAGTGATGGTGGTGGTGGTGCTGGCTGGCGGGGGGGATGCGGTGTCGGTGGGGCTAAGGATGTATTACAGAGGCGGGCTGCTCTTAATGTAACTAGAGAGCTTCTGGGGCGGCGGGGAGCCCCTCTCTGCTCCCCGCCGCCCCCAATCACCCACCAGCTCAGCTCACCAGGGAATGATGAAAAAAAATAATTCTGCCAAAAGGGTGAGTCGAACCGGTTCTTTGCTGGGGCACGGTGGGGTGGGGGAGGCTCCCGGATGTTTTGGGGAGGGGGGCTTTGCTCCAGTTTTCCAGTTGCTTGCTTTGCCTCCACTCCCCCCCTCCCTTTCGCCAATCCCTTGCTCGGCAAAAAAACCCCAACCAGATCAAAACAGAACCAAACCATACCCCAACACCCGTCTCCCCTTCTCTCCTACTGCCCAGCGCCTCTCCTTCCTCTTGAATTTGCCAGGAGATACTACTCGCCGCGTAGCACGGAGAGATGTAGTCAGGCGGTTTTCATTTTCGATCATAAGGAAACGATAAAATACAGAGGCACTGCCTATCTGTCGCTCTGTGCCTCCTCTGCGCCGTCTGTCTGTGTATCTGCCGTGCCCACCGAGCTGATCTCCCTCTATGAAGAAATCTTAAATATAAACCCATGCTTAGATTTCGCCTCTAGGATTAACTGTTCATAAAAGGCTCAAAAGCACAATTTGCACTGCAGCAAAAAATCAATTAGTTGAAATTCGCTGCAACACCCTCCTGTACCTCTTTGCAATGGCAAACGCATGTCGTATGAGGCGAATATAACATAACAGCCGTTCTTATATAATGCACAGAGTGAAACCGTGCCTGCAATTTTTGCATCGCCCCCCTGGTATTATTGTTGTTGCTTCATATCTGCAGTGGAAAATCTATGTGGAGTGAAATCAGGCAAAGTACCTCGGTCCCAGCCTTGGTGGAGAGAGGGGCGAGCTGGGGGAAGGGGAGGCGAAAGTTGGGCAAAGAGGGAGGGGGAAGAACGGCAGTGTAAAACCATGAATAATACCATTTTCCCCCATTTTCTTCCCTCTCTCTTTGTGCTAGGGGCAACAGGATGGAAACCAGCAATCAGCGCAGCCCGAGAAGGTTGGCTGGGTGCGGAAATTTTGCGGGAAAGGCATTTTTAGGGAAATCTGGAAAAACCGTTATGTGGTTTTGAAGGGAGATCAGCTTTACATCTCTGAGAAGGAGGTAGGCTCCGTTTCCTTTTCCTTCCCCATCCCCCCCACCTCCCCTCCATCTCCCTTTGCATTTGAAAAGCACAGGCGAGCAGCCCGAGCCCCTGCCCAGCACCCCTGCCAAAGCCTCAGCCCTCCGCGGGCTGTCTGGCTCTGTGCTCTGAGAGGAAGGAGGTTTCTCTGGGGCTCCTCTCCCCCCTGCCCGAGTCTGGCCCGTCCGCTCTGGAGAAACCCGGCCTGGGTTGGCATGTCGGCTCGAAGGGCGACTCGCCCAGACAGTTCTGTCTGGGAGACATTTTCCCAGAGCTGGACACATGAAAAGATTCAGATTAGCCAGAGTTAAAATCCTCATCCTTCTCACCATGAAGAAACGGCAGTGCCGGCTTCCTTCTGGGCCTGTCCTCTGTCATGAAGTTTGACAGTGGTCTTGTTCTCAGCTGCTGCACTGCTCTATTTGCAAATAACTGTGGTCTCCCAACTGGAATCAAACCATTTGCCAGTCCCTTATCTCTTGTTTTTGTTTTTGTTTTTCCCCCTGAATCAAACCACAAAAGGAGCAGGGGAGAATTTAACCAAGGATTCAACACCTTGTTGAAGAACGTGCCCCCTCTCCTCCCCCTCATCTCTGCTCAACATAGGCTGAGGTTTGGGGTATAATGTAGTGTTTACGTGAGACTTAATTGGATGTGACTATCAGGTTGAGCATTGCAGGCTCTGGCAGGCTGCGATCAGGCTGTCCTCGCACAGCCTCCCCAGTAGTTTTTGTCTTGATAAATTCATCAAGAAGAAACCCCCCTGGGCAACAGCACTTTCCCCCGCCCCTGATTTCTCTTTAAAAACTCATCTCTCGCATTAGCGAGGGTTGCGCATGCAGGAAGAGACACAGGGGCTGCTTGGAGTCAGGCTGGTGTTAGTGAGGACAGGATCTGGGCCTGGGTCTCAGGGGTTTCCTCCCAAAAGGGAAGGCTACAA